AGTATGAGAGACGACTTCAAAGAAAGATCAAGACGAGAAGTCTAAGGGGCAAACTTCGAAGTAAGATAAAAAAAACTAGACTTTTTAATATAAATGTACTAATACTTTGATATTTAGTAATAAATGATAAAAGCTCAAAAATCGTTTTACGCACGAAAATATTATTTCATAAAAACACTTACATAAAAAAATTATTTTTCAATTTAAACTTGATATTACTTACTCATTCAAAAGCCCACATTTAAGGGGGAAAAAAAAAGGAGTTCAGCCCATCCGGACATTTGGTTCATCCGCAACGGTTGATTTTTCTACCGTTATGACTTTTGACGAGCAACGGCTAAATCAGTCATCCGGATGGTTGTCCGATTCGGCACAGTTTTTGAGGTTTTGACTTCTATAAATATCACTTCACTTTGCATTCATTAAATAACTAGAAGAGAGGTTTCTTGTGAAATATATTTGTAAAATATCTTTTTTTAACCAACATTTTTACATTCATTTCATTTATTTTTCATACAAAACACTTTGATTGTTGAATCAAATTTCTTGAATCATTTCTCTCATCAAAGTTTTTCATTTCTCTTTATGCTTAACTTATTTATATCAATCTTAAAAGAGAGATATAATTTTTAAGAAGATCTTTGTACTTACATTGCATAAACTTTTCTACTTCTTCATATTGAAAACTTTGATTGATTGAATCAAACTTGTAAAATCATCATATTCATCAAAGTTAGTACTTAAATTGTTTGTATTATTTATCAAGAGAAGAATTCCATTGTCAAATCACTTTGATAAAGTATGGGTTGTGTTGAAGTCCCTTAAAGATCAATATTGTATAAGAATCGGTGCTCCTTGTTATAAGTCAATGTGTGGGTCATATTGAAGTTCCGTGAAAACTCAATAGGGGGTCATGTTGGGGTCTTGTAAAACTCGACATTGTATAAGGATCAGTGCTCCTTATTTGTAAGTCACCGAAAGCATTGTAAAGGATCGTTGCTCCTTTTACTTATCATTTTTTTATATTTGTGTTTATTATTTGAATTAATTTATTTAGTCTTTACTTGCTCAAATTTAGATTAATTCTTCGAAAATTCACCCCCCCATCCCCACTTGGTTAGTTATCATTGGGCTTTCATAGAAGATCCAAATATATATAGGCAACTATGTAGGGTAACGTGCAAACCCTAATAGATGAGTTGTAGTTGAAGTAAAATGTCAAAAACGTGTTAAAATGTGAAAAGGACTTAGGCTGGGTAACACTGTCGCTTGAGCGACAGGCTAGCGACGGTCCATCACTCGAGCACCATACGGGCGACAGGCGAGCGACTAAGTCTAAGGAGAAAACCTGCAGGTGTAGCTCGAGCAGTAGGCTAGCAAAAGTGCGGCGAATTTTCTCCCAGGTCCATAATTTCAACCTCTTCAAGTCCAATATAAATTTCAACTTCCAATAGGGCTTCAAATAGAATTTTAACTTGAATAAGACTCCAATAGCATTCCAAACAGAATTCCTCTTGACGTGCACTTCAATTAGAATTATTCAATTACTTCAACAAGGAATTCGGGTCACACTCAAATTCTAATAATCTCCACGTTGTCACGAATTCAACTGCAACGAACAGGGCTCCAAAATTTTCTCCACCTAGAGAAAAATATCCGTCTGCAAGGAATGAACTGACTCTTCAACAATAATCAAAACTGATTTCTCCAACCAAACATAAGATATTTCACCTCTTCTAATAAATTCAAGCACTACTCTGTAAAATTACCTCATATTCCAAAAAAATCATAATGATTTTGAAATTCACCAAATTAGGTTGTAACACATCCCAAAGCAGAAATAAACACAAATGTTTTTAAAGAATGTCCCTTACTAGATTGTACACATTCTACTACGCTGAAAGCATACTCAACAAAATCAGGATTCACATACCTTTTTTCCAATATGTCCGTCCCTAACAATTGAATACAATAGCACCACAGGTGATGGTGGTAAAGCGGTATTATCCATATATCATGAATTTCACTGAGCTATATTCTTCAAATCCGACCTTTACGAGCTCCTAAAAGTATTGTACCAAACTGAATGTCAACTACAATACTAAACCTGTGCTGATTGACTCTTCTAGATTCTGCATAACCCTGCAAGATATATGACTAAGACATTTTCTATCCCTCCAGTACAATTTGGGCACCCTTACAAACCTTCAGAGATCCACCTCCACCAAAAAATTCATAACCCTTTGAATTAAAGATAAACAATGAGATGTGATTCTTCTTCAAATTTGGAACATGTTGAACCTGGCCAAGTATTCTAATTGTCCAATCCAATAGTTTCAATCTAATGTACCAATTCCAACAACCCAATAAGGTGTGTTGTTTCCAATAACCATAACACCTTTGGAAACAATTTCATAAGTAGTAAACAAGTCCTTATTATAACACATATGAAACATACACGCTGAATCCAAAATCTAATCCTCCTCTGATTTAGACTCGATGTCAGAAATAGTCAAGAAATCTCCCTCACTTACAATGTTCTATGCGAGGTTTGCTTCACCTAAAGTCTCTAATTGCTTTCCATATCGACTTGCAGCTAGATTCTTTATTCTGCAATTTGTAGCAATCATTTTTCATATGCTCCTTCTTCTTGCAGTAGTTACAAATTTGATTACTGAACTTAGAGTTCGATCTGCCCCTTCCAGAAAAATCATGAGCAACCAGGTCTCTCTATCTCAGGCTTCAGAAACCAGATACTTCTTCTTCTCTTTTGAAAACAAAACATCATACACTTTCTTTATGGTGAGAGTATCACAATTATACAAGACCGTGTCTCTAAATGAAGAAAACGAAGCGGGCAACGAACACAATATGATCAAGGCCAAATCTTATTCATCATACTTTAATTCCAAAGTTTCCAAATCAGGGACAATCTCTTTGAATACAGCCAGGTGATCTTCCAATGATCTTCCTTCTGCCATTCGATGAGAGCAGAAACTGCTTGAGATGCAACTTGCTTATCAGACTTTTAGTCATGCATAATTACTCCAACTTCAACCATAAGCAGCTGCTGAACCCTTCTTCAAAATGTCCTGAAAAATGGTATTCGATAGGTAAAGATGAATGTGAGAAACTACATTCTTATCCTTTCGTAATTTCCCCTCCGCGGTCAAAGTTACGGGCATCTTTTCAATTCTAGCAACGCATCATCCGATTCCTGTTGTATCCGTACTGTACGTATCTTAGCCTGTTATAGCAAAAATCTAGTGCTCCGATCCAAAAGCGGAATGTCATACTTCATGGAAGTCATCACGAACAAAAACCTCGAACAAATCAAACATGCGCTCTTGCGAAACTGTTGAACATAGACTTTATACCACTTGATATAAGCCGACGGGATTGTTCTTATACCACTTGTTATGTTAATTATACATAAAATCTCTGATACCAATTGTTGGGAATTCAAGGATCACATATTGCTCGATACCACTTGATATGAAATCAACCACCGGATTGAGATGTTGAAGTTATATGGTACAATAAATGAAGAATTATGAGGTTTTATTGACTCATAAACAATAATGGAGAAATATACAATTGATCTGAAGTTATAGTAATCACCGAGGCTAAACAATCATAAATTCTCAAAACCTCACTCCAAAATTCAAGAGAAAAGTCAAGTATATATAGGCAACTATGTAGGGCAACGTCCAAACCCTAATAGATGAGTTGTAGTTGAAGTAGAATGTCAAAAATGTGTTAAAACGCGAAAAGAGATAACACTATCTCTCGAGCGAGAAGCTAGCGACAGGTCCGTCGCTCGAGCAACTGGCGGGTGACAGGCGAGCGACCATGTCTTGGAAAAAAACCTATAGGTGTTGCTCGAGCGGTAAGCTAGCGAAAATGCGGCTACTTTTTTTTCTCGGTCCATAATTTCAACATTTTCAAGTCCAATACAAATTTGAACTCTCAATAGGGTTTCCAAATAGAATTTTAACTTGAATAAGACTCCAATAACATTCCAAACTGAATTTTTCTTTACGTGCACTTCAATTAGAATTTTTCAATTATTTCAACAAAGAATTCGAGTTACACCCAAATTCTAAAAATATTCATAAAGATAGACTCATTTCGTTCTTGACTCATTTCTAAAGGTTATGGATCCGAGTTCTAATTTTTTTCTTTATCTTTCTGGAATTTGAGAGATTATATTTGTTACGTTGGATTAAATTGAATTTCACATGATTAAGAAAAAGATAAGAAAGAAAGGTTTGTGAAAAAAAAAAAAAAAAAGTCATTGAATATGTTTAAATTTCTATCTTATCTAGTTTAACGTATGAAAGTAATCCACCCATATTGATAAAAGTTAGTTCCATTATATATAGGTTTGCAAAATATATATATACAAGAACTACAAAATACTAATTTGAGCAAAAGAATTAATTAAGTTGTCTTACGTAAGCTTTCAATCACTACTTTTTTGATGTTTTACTACTACTACGAGATGAATAGTTTTACCCTCTACACACCAATTCATTCGTGTGAGAAGTTAGTAGGATTTTTCTCTTTAATTGAACTTTCTCCCTTTTCTTTGGTCTGTTTTTTTTTATCAAAGGGCAACTACAATAATTTCTGAAATTTCACCAAAAAATTATCCATAACTATCTCATATATAAATTGGAATCAGATGTATAAATTCAAATATTATTAGATTTTAAAGGTACAAAATATCAATCAATATTATTGTATCATATGATTATAATAACTCATAATAATATTTTCTATCTTTCATAAGAGTAACGTTATTTATCACAAATGATGTTTAACACTAGTTTAAAAGATAGTAAAGCCACTATCACATTATCTAATGAAGTGGTGATGCACTTTTATTCATCAGACAACGTGACTATACTAGCTTCACTATCATTAGAGAAGTGCTACACACTACTTGTCTTACGTTACATTATTTTTCATGCTGAGATCTTCAAGAGGAGAGAAATCTAGTTGTCTTGGATCTTCGCATAATCCAAGTTCACTTTGCCATCTACTGTATTACTGAGCTGTGTTTCTACATATTCTATGTATTTCAATGGCCGATACAGTGGACGCCCATCTCTTTGTACTAATGGTGAAGCTGGGCCAACAATGGCATCTGGTGCTGGACCATTGGCTATAACAACTGAAATTCTTGTTGATTGGTTATTCACAACAGCTCTATGCTTCACACTCTTGTATTTCCCATTGCTGAATATCTGCCAACAAACACCATTTGATTTGATTTTTAAAGTAAAAACTATCCTAAGTTCAAGCATGTTTGGCTAAGCTTTAAGTAGCTTTTGCTGTTTTTTTTTGCAGTTAGCACATGTTCAAAGTTGATTTTTCGCGGTAGAAGAAAAAAGATTTACCTCAAGCTGATCGGCAGTGTTAACTAGAATGGAATTCTGAGGTGAATTTGTATTAAACCACTTTCCATTATGTTGAATTTGTAGTCCAGCCACTCCATTGTGTATCAAAAAGGTCAAAAGACCATGATCTGTATGTGGTGGGAGCCCAATTGCTTGATCTGGCTGTGGACAAGGTGGATAATAATTTACAGCAAATAGTTGGAACATAGAGTCCAACTTTAGGATTTCTTGCACATATCCTTCTTCCAATCCCAGGTTTTCAGAAATCCCTTGGAGTAATGTTCTTGCCACAAATCGGCTTCTTTCAGCGTACTCAAATATAATCTCCCTACAACGAAATAGGAACACTTAACATGATAAGTTATATGATAATTTCTTGAGCTATGCTCCTCCTAAGTTTTATTTATAATGTGAATTAAGTACTCCTATTGTTCTAAGAAAGGCTTATACCTAAGATTTTGAGGTTTATCAGGATAATGAAATTCAGGATGGACATAGGACTTCATAAAATCCCTCCAGAGGAAAATCTTCTTGTCTGAAGTAGTTATGACACTGCCTTTGCCATACTTGATGGGATCCGAAACATGCTTCGCTTCATATTTGCGCTTCTCATCCTCTGGCAAATCGAAGAACTCCGAAGCCCCTTCTATTGCTGCCTTCATCAAGGTTTCTTGTATCCCGTGATTGACCAGCTGCAAGAATTAACAAGTACAAATGCATGCACTACTTATTGTGAACAGAAAAACACAACTGATGATACTGGATAGTATAACGAAGAAAAATTTGAGAGAGTATATATTGTACCACAAAAAAGCCCCATTCTTCACAAGCTTTGCCAAGTTCTTGAATGATTTTGGACCTTTCATCAGGATTTCCAGAGGTGAGTAAGGAGAAATCGATGATTGGGATTGAATCAGAATATGAACCTGTGGGTTCATTCACAAATGAAAATTCAGAAGGGATGGACTTAAGATCGGTAGATTCAGTCAGCACTTTAACACCAGAATTAGCAATTGCTGCCATCTTTCTGCCTGTTCTTTTGTCTTGAACGTGTGTGTGTGGAGTGAATTGTGCAAATGAAGAAAATATGGTTCTATATATAGAGGTTAGACCAGTGACCTTACTCGTATTAATTGACTTTTTCGTCTAAAACACAACATATTTATACAATTCGGTTCCTTTTCATCATCATCATCATCATCAACAAGGACCTGACATATAGTCTATTGTCATAAGAGCTAGATTTGAAACCTTCACTACATTAGCATCTTAAATTATCTCGTTTAAAAACTTATATCTTATAAATAGAATAATAATGTCAGTTAATTTCAATTGTCAACAAAGGGCTTATGAATTATTAATTTTGCAAGCTTATTTTTTGAAGTGTTGGCATGACACAAATTCTAAACTCGTGTAATCGTTCACACGATCAATTAATTGTAGTGTTTTAAAGAGTGAATATTAGGTGATAAGGTCAAATTTCATACTTTTACGAGTTTAAACGAGCATATGTAAAGTCTAGTCTATGACTAAACGTATAAAACATAAATTATGACTAGATTGTAAAGGTAAGATTTGCAGGATAAGCTTATGTGAGCCTCAACCCTGCTACATGAATTGAGTCGCCGACCGAGTTTTTTTACAAGGGAACATGTGTCGTTGACCATTAGAAAAAAAGTAAAAAATCCATAAAAGTGCTGTCAAGTATTGGATTATTAAGATACCTACCAATTCAACACGTTATTCACTATAATCAAAGGACAAAAAAAATATATATGAACTTAAAATGACACATGCAAAAATTAGCATTTAATTATTACATTAAAATTAAAATCTAAGTATGTACATTGAACCTAGGTAGACGTATTCAATATATGTCAATAAAGTATATTATCAAATCAAACCTCCACCCTTCTACAAGTGTGGAAATACGAAATTTACGAAAACCTTTCTCATTCCAATTGATCCACTAATAAATACTAGAAAATTGATTTAGGCAAGCGTATTCAATAAATTTCAATCAAGTATATACTTGTTATTCACGAAACGTACCAATGATTAATTTAGCACATATAATTTGTTTCTCGTTTCATTGAGTATCATATTTCATTTGATCCACCAACTCTACAGTTTTTCCTTTTTTTCTAATGAGAATAATCTGTCGTAGTGACAAGACCAATGCCCTCAATGGCCCCACCTCCCATGGATCTGTCAATTTTTCATTCATGAAAATTGGACTTCTTAATTTTGAGTTAGGCTACATGTACAAAGTTGGGTTACAAAGTTGGTTGACAAAATAACATTTACACCAATCATTTTAAAAATAGATTTTTAAATTATTTCAAATCAATGGTTTGGATTTTGCCAACACATTTTATAACCCAACTTTTGTAACTCAACTTTGTACGGCGTTATTTCCAAGACTAACTAGTTCATGTATGTCTTCCATTCTTTCAAAAAAAAAAAAAAAACATACTTAGGTTTTATTTGAAATGATTTTTGAAAAGTCAAAAGGAGTTTTTGAGACCCAAAACTACTTTGGGAGCTATTTGACTAATTTTGTGAAAGTACTTTTGATAATTAGAAGAGTTTTTAAAGGAAACTAATCTAAGAATGTGTTTTATTGTATTTATTTTCTATGAAAAATGTCGGTTTTCTACCCAAATTCTTACTTTCAAGTGTCTGATTACTATTTTTTTCTATGAAAAATATTTTTCAACATTTAAAAATATGCATAATTTTCCTTTTTTTTTTTAATAAAAACATTTTTTTTGGGGTGGGGTGGGTTTTTGTTTTCCTCAAAATAAGGAAAATATTTTCTTTATTTAGAATATATTTTTCATGCCAATCAAACACACTCTAATATAACTTCCTTTAAAAGCACTTTCGAAATATAAAACTCTTTTAAAATTTTGTTTTTAAACAAAAATTAAGGTAACTTTCTCTAAAAGTTTTTTTTTACAGAAAGTAAAAGTAAAACCTATGTCAAATGGACCCTTATTTTCAATCATACAATCACACAATAAAATATTTTAAGCGTAAATCCAAAAATTTTTCCAAATATATATATATATATATATAGACTACCAAATAGGGGTTAGGTTTGAGAATATTGGCACCGATCTCTCACCGTCATGGTCAACCAATGTTTCACTTGGCGTAGGCGATACTTTGATGTGTGGAAATTTGACCCGTGTTATTTTTTTGGAGAAAAATAAATCAAATAAATCAACCAAGGCGGCTTCGAAGAACAAGACTAAAAATAATTGGATGTAAAGCTGCCACACGTGTTAGGTCCCAAAAATACATCATAGGAGCAGAACAGTAACAACAAAAATTCAATGTTATTAGTTTAATAATTAAGAATATAATTGACAAAATTGGTTTTTCATTTTGTTTTTGTCGCCAACTAGTAATGACATTTCAAATAAAAAGGTTTTCAAGAAAAGATATAAGAACAATACTATACGTACATGGCATATACAAACAGAATTATCCAAAATATAACTCCTCTTAAAAAATGAGTTACTTATATATAAAGTAAATTTTACATAAATAACTTCTTATTTCAATGTTAAAAATAAGTTAATCATTTATTTTTTGAAAATAATCGTTACTTTCAAGTAACCTGACAAAATATACGTTTTTAGATAAATAGAAACAAATTTTCTTTTAAGCATATTCAAATATGGACCACACATGAATAAAAAGTCATTGATTACTTTTACTTTCCTCAAAGACTTAACTTATGAGTTGAAATTAAATAATGATATGATTTGAAAAATAGCTCTCATTACATTTACATGATATATGGCTCTATAAGCTTAACTTTTTATTTGCTCTCCAACCATGCGTTTCTCGAACTTAATAATTGAGAAGATGTCAAAAATTAGAATAGCTGCCAGTGGTGAAGTTTCACGAGTAGTCCGTTGTATGATACAATAAAATATTTTATATTTTATCTTCTATATTTTACGAAATTATATTTACAATAAAAAGATTATTATTATTATAATAGCCAAAACCTGAAATCCATGTGTGGTGATTTGACTCTCAATCCAAACCCAAAACATATATTTTAGGAATTCCACACAACAACCACACAACAATAGCATTCATAAAAATTCCTAAATGGGCAATTAGGATGCCAACTTTGACATCTTTAACAAAGAATTTTCCAAAGAAATTTTTTTTGTCGTATTAGGGTGGGAGAGAGTTGGTTTCATTCTAGAGAGGGTAGCTTTTGTATCCTTCGTGCTAGAATTATGTGAATGATCGTGGCAATTCTTTAAGTTAGACATGTTAAATGTTTTCAAACTGAACATGTTTGGACTTTTACAACACGTCATTTACCAACGTTTACCAATTTAAAAAATAGTTAGAAGTTGAAAACATTCACTTTCTTTATTTTATAGAGTTAGTTACTTATTGTAACAGTCCAGTCTCTCTAGTTAAAAATAAAAAGTGGGTTTGACTTTAAAATACCAAATTTGTTTCTATATATACTCCATCCGTCCCAATTATATAGACTGTGTTTCATTTTTCTCTTGTTCAAAATATATAGGCATGTTTCCTAAGATAAAATATTTTGTTGTGTTTCTTTAACAATATGCCCTTATTAAATTTTCCCCAATTAAAATGTGAATTTCTTGAAATCATCCAAATACACATATTNTTTCCCCAATTAAAATGTGAATTTCTTGAAATCATCCAAATACACATATTTCTCACTCCTTGAAAACATCAAACAACTCTCATTTCTTCTTATTCATCAAATTCTTTATTAGTTCAAACAATAATTTAATTTTACCTACTAAAAGTAAATAGGGGTAAATTATGAAAAATCTTGACAAAAATTAATTTTCCAATGACATTAAAGAAGTTTTCTGAATCATGCTATATGTACAACAATGGTTGACAACATTGGTTGACAACATCATATTTGGCATTATCATATCCATCTATTTTAAAAAACAGTTTTCTACATCAAATATTAGGATTTTGACAACACATGATTGTTAACCATTATTGTCAATCAATGTTGTACACTTTGATTTATTCAAAATAAATAGTGAAGGAAAAGAGTGAGCCATAATTATTTATTGAAAACATCAAAACAAAGATGAAATACACATAATACTATGGGACTTGTACAAATAAATCAGTTGTTTATTTTTAATTATTTTTCAAGATGCTCTTTATATAATAAAAAAGATCTTTATTAAAATAACGATCATTATTTGAGATTCTCGAAGATTGCAATATCCACGCAAATGATATTTTATTGGTTAATAAACAAAAACAAAGAAATATTTTATTTTTTTCAAAAAAGAATTTTATTTTACTGGAAAAAGTTCACCGAGTAACCAAATTCCTTGTATTCCAACGCTCCAAACAATCGACGTTTTAGTACCATTGTTGGGAATTAAGACCTTTTTTTTTTTTTTATTTCAAATTGCCCACATGATCCTTATTTAGAGAAAAATAATGAGATAGAAAAAATATGAAAAGACAGAGTATGAAAATTTATTAGTCATTTACAATTTCTGCATCACAAAAATCTCCAAGTATCGTAGAAAAGTAATAATTAAATTATATTATATATATTGATTTCTACTCTTTGTATAATTTACAAAGAGAATAAGAAAACTCAAATGCTAAACTTACAAAATCCTTTAAAAAAAACCCTCAAAACATGTATTAAAAGAAGAGAAAATTAAGTCAATATATAGAAAAACGTTGCAGAATTATTTGACCCAAAATTTGCAATAGGTCACAGTGCTGACCAAAAATTGCATTACAAATTGTCTTTTCCAAAGTTAATTCCACCCCTTCACAGTACAAGGCACGTGGAATTAGAAAAATGAATCTTTTTCATCACCTTGAACTGACTTTTTTGGCCATCTTTTGGTTTTTCTGAATAAATATTTCGACACAAAGATTCGCTAACGCGTAAGCATATCAAAATTTTGACGAAATGATTTAAAGGCAAAGAGAAAACTCCAAACTTAATTTTCTAAACA